CCGATGGGAACTGTGCGCGGCCTGCGATGGGAGAAAATTCCTTTTCAGAGGGACTGACACGTTCCGACTCGAGGACAGCGTAAACGAAACACGTAGACCCTGTCACTAGAAACTGGCAGCTTCGTCGTGACCCGCGACCGCGACGAATCGTCCCGTCCGGCTGTGCGATAGCTCTGATGCAAATACTCACGATATCCGTGGCCCGAGTGACAGAAGGCTCGTCGTAACCCGTGTCGAGATGGCTCATCTTCGGACGGTTGTTTACGCGACGGCGACACTCGGCTTGACGTGCGATCACCACTTTACCACCGGCCCATGATCGTACATTACTGTCGTCCACGGATCTCTCGGTGTACCCGTTGATTTTCACGCATAAAATCGTGCGATCACGCGTGCCTGCGCTCGCGGTCGATCCTTGGAATCCATGACAGGTACGAGCACGGGTATGGCCGTGGGCCGCATGCGCCGAGCCCACAAGTTATCACGCTCTGCCACCGACCAGACAGGCGGCTAATACGTATAGACGAGAAACTCCGGTTCGAATTAAAATTTCTTCACTCGCCGAATCGCGCGAGGCCTCGCTAAATAGTGCCCGTAGCGAAAGCTCGACTGTCCGATGACGGAATGATTCACGCCCCGATGAAATAATAACCTAGCTTGTTTACAATCTCTCGCGAACTATGCCGTTCGTACCTTACGCGAACCGCTAATTTATTTCATTCTCTTTGCACGTTAATCTTCAGTTTCTCATCGATCCCTTTAAGCAGTAACGTCGATTTATCCGTGTGCCAACTCGTTCACGCTGCACAATTCTATTACAAGCGATACTCGATTACACAGAAATAAGAGGATCGATCCGTTGAATGTGCATTCGTTAATCGGTCACACCTAGTTTTTTTCTATTTCTCAACGAAATCGTTAGGAATCTACACGGTTTTTATCTAAACGGCTCATCTTTAACGTTATTCTCTTAGTAATTTCTCGAGTCTTTCGTTCTGTAAGAAATCTCAAAGAAAACGGTAGACTGGCATTTCAAATTCGTACCACGATTAACCGCGGTTAAATGTCATTAATCGATACTTCCGGTTTCGATTATCTTTCTAATATTAACCGTTTACCTAAAATGCCGATTGAATATGATCATTTGCTACACGTCTGATTATTAAACATATCGATTTGATTTTAATCGAAGAAAACAATTCAATCTATTAGGGAATAATAAATTCGAGTATTCGGAATTTGATTTTGATCGATATTGACCAATCACGGCGCGCATCCTATTGTGACAGTTCGACTCGCGTTGTCTAACGAATCACTGTTTGAACGTCTCCCACTAGTCCGTTGTGCCGCGATATCAAGTGCTCGTTACAGTGCAAAGAATTCGCAAGAAAATCGGATGAAACTGAATGATACGCCGCAACCTTGGTAAGATTATATAAAACAACTATTTCGGCATCGCTTGAGCGTTTAAATCGTAAAAGATTCGACACTAGTACCGATTTAAACGCAAATTCAATATTCGACTACGCGGGGGGGTACTATGACCGTTACAAGTCCCCCATCGGCCATTTATATTCTGAAGAATATTCAATGTTTCATCCGAATATTTCCATACGATCGTTGACGGTAGAGCAATCAGTTATTGAACAATCGATACTACTGAAAATGATAAACAATATAAATTACATATATACTTTATTATGCATATGAATTTTCACATAGAGAGACAGAATTCTTTCGTTACAATGATTCAAGATATTCTCTATTCGTTTTCATAGCTGACAACAAACGTTTCGATAATCTAATGATTATTCAGCGCATTTTACAATTAGTCACGATATTTAACGTTATTATAGCAACTTTCTCGATATATTTGATACCAAAGAGGTCATGATGTTTCCTTTTTCTCTCGTGAAAAGAACAGATAATACTATAAACTTAATATACAGATATTAAATATATCATTCGTAGAGAACATCCACATTTAAGATTAAAATTGAAATTGATCTATGAAATTGTACTTATCAACGATTATAGAATCAGGGTTTCTAGTAAAATTCAATTGGAATAAAATGTACAAAGAAACATTCAATCCTAAGTATAATGTACTTGCTAAAATACACGTTACGAAAGCTCGATCGACAAAACCATTGGCACAGAAAGACCTTTTTCCTCTTGGTATCTTTGTTACGCCATCTTTTAGCCCGCCATTCGGTCGCCATTCAATCTGAGTATTTCAGAGTTCTGATCAATGTATGCGCCGCGAAAGAAACAATTTTCTTAAAAAAGTCGTATTTATGCATTGAGATTACTCATTTACAATTTACGGAACGATGTCATTAACATCGTGTCTCGTATAGACCGCTTCTGCCTATATATCTCACCCACTTTATAACGTCGTGATCAGAGTAATTCAGCTTGGATTCGAACACTTTCAAATAACGTACTTTGAATCCAGATGGAGCAAACGGTACTTCGAAAGTCATCGATATCGGAGGCCGTGTCCATTTCTTCTTTGTATCAGTTTCAAGCAAATCAATCTCAGCGGATAACTGAGTTTCCTTCATGCCAGGCAAACGTTTAATCTTCCATACAATAGCATTCTCCGATGCTTTGTACTTTGCTTTCCCTTTCAAGCAGATCAACTGCACTCCTGCAGTGTTTAAAGGTGTCGGTACTCGCACCTCGATCTTCTGTCCCAGCAGAGATGCCTTGAAATTTGATTTTAGTACTGCCTTCACTTCCATCTTTGTACGTCCCACCTCGCGCACCAATGGAATCACACGGAATGGCAATGATATATCCTTAGTGGTACGGTATCTACGGGACACAAACAAAATATCAGAAAATTCTGTAGCTTGAAAGAGGTTCTTCTTCTTCTTTTTCTTCTTCTTTCCAAAACTCTTACCTCATCAATTCGAATTCACCATCTGGCGGAATGAAACTAATAGCATGCTCTGTCTCGAATTTACTAAGTTTAACGCATTGATGAAATTGGCAGTCGTCGATCACAACAACAGGTTTTCCAGATCTACCACCAGTAGGGTCGTCTCCTCCACCTCCTAGACCACTTCCACCCTTCATACCCTTAGCTTCCATGACAATTTTATCGTTAATTCCAAACTTACATTCTGGCATTCCAGACAAATAAGACTTCATCACGACCTGTTAGAATAGCAATATCGATTAGAGCTTAGAATACTTAAAATATCTTGAGTAATGATTTCAAATATCAACCTTTCCAGCAACATGCGCGCTAAGCACTTGACCCTGAGGGCTCATTAAGAGGTTCACAGATTCCAGAACATCTAGGAATAACTCGTTACGTCTGTACTTAATACCCTCCCTTCTCCATCCGATCTGACCAGTTACTTGGGAAGTTATTTGAGCTTGTTCCTCTTTTGTTCCCGATTTAACTCCTTGCTGAGTGATAAATGTCTTTAATACCCCAGTATCGCAATTCTGTGGGTACCCAAAGTCCAAAATTTCTGCACGTGAAATTTCAGTTATTCTATGCTATTACCATTGTATTATTTTAATCTATATCAAACTACCAACCATCCAACAATTCATAGATCAGCACAAAGTTGTTCTTAATGTTTTCTTCAGAGATTTTGCCAAAGTAAGACTGCATAACATCAATGATTTTCAACAAGAATTCGAATACCATTGCCGCATTAACATTTTGCTTGGTAACAGCAGCCAACCAAATGTTGGCACGTTTTATGTGAAAGAAAGATGTTCTTGCAATATTGGTAACTGGTGAGCGCACCTGTTGCCTGGCATGGATAACATTAACACGAAATGCGTCAACTGCATTTCGTCCAATGTCATCCCGGTAGACTCTGGAGATAAGTACCTCCCCTTTGTGATTGTACACAAATAAGCCCCCTATCATCTTGACAGAGGGTATTTTTTCTTGCTCTGACTACAACCAACCTACGAGCAACATCAATTAATTACCATAGTATTCTTAATTCTCAAACTAACTCGATAGCATAAAAATTACATATATTTAAAGATTTTTGTTCCAAGTAAAGATAATACATGTCCCTGACACTGAGAAATGCCATCACAGTTAATTTTCCAGAAACAAAATTCTGCATATATAATGATTAGGTACGAGTACATTATGAAAACGCTTACGTATTTTCAGTTTCATAGAAAACTGTAGAAAAAAGTGTAGCAAACCGTAAGGTGTTAATACTGATAAATAAACAAAATTATACCAAGTGGACTTCTGGGTAGATAAGCTTCGAAAAGACTACAATTAGAGTTATCAAATCTATATATTAATACGAAACTTGTTCGTTACATACTCATTTGTACGATATAATATAAATATACGTGTACAGGATAACGCCCCTTTTCTTAAATGACATTTGAGGTTCTTTGATATGTCTTGTAAACGGTTAGTATTATTGATCGGAAATGGAATTGCTTATGCCGCAGACACCGACATTATCGAATATTCTTGAAAGAATTCTAACACGCGAAGCCACGTAAATATGAATTCCAATATCATAAAAGATCACTTACGCATGACTCTTACTGCGGATATTAAAAATAAGCGATACTAATTTGTATCGGCCTCCGAAATGCACAGTATCGGTACCAACCTACTGGTACAAGTGCGAACTATCAAATGACGAAAGCAACACCCACTTTTCTGTACTACGTGTCTCAGAGACATATGCCATTACAATAAATTACTTAAATAACATCAATTATCCATCGCAATAGAAAGCATTTTATTGCTTTAGAGTTTAAATTCCGCTTGCCCCTGGTGCTCGTGCAAATGCACTGACCGTACGTTTATAGGGCAAATAGGGTTGTTGTGTTGATTTCAAAACCGGTAGTTATACATTTACAAGCAGAATCAATATTTAATAAAAATATTAAGAATCGTAAGAACGTATCTATGAAATGATCGGACAGTTTATACTGTTTCTCGACAGCTGGAATAAACTTTCTGTGCAGCCCAAAAACCATGTATACGTTGGATGTTGTAGTAAAAACAATGAATGGTTCAAATGTATAGTCAAACACTATCAGATGTCAGAGAAATTATACCTTTCGCCTGATTTCAATATCTCGCGAATGACATAGCTTTTTTCTGTATAAAATACAAAGTCCAAAATCTTGCCACCTGACATAAAAAAAAAGTGTTTTTCCTTCTTTTAGATAGCGTATCATCATTTTATATCGACGCCTGCGCATTGCAATACCCTTTGGATGGTTGTGTATCTTAGTATTGTAAAATGTGATTTGCACTTTGAAATATTGAACTTCGTATAGTTATGACATTGTAATATTTAAGTGGGAACTGTTGTAATTATGGCAACGACTGATCAAGATGCGAATAATAATAATCTCCCTTTACGGGACAATTTAGTAAGTTTTTAATCTCAATTAGGTTATATATTCGTTCCATAGTGCCCTAATGATCTGTATGTATTTGAAACTTTTGATATATAGATTAAAATCGTACTGTACATTCGAACGTTATATAATCGAAAAATTATTATATAGATTGTAGTTAATCAGTGGATTCTTTTTAAGGTAAAAACTGCAGTGGAATTTTTACAAAACCCTAAGGTAGCAAGTAGTCCTACAGAACGTAAACAGGACTTTCTTAGGAGAAAAGGTTTAACCGATGAGGAAATTACAACCGCTTTTAAACTAGCTTCTGTTACCTTAATTGCTGACCAAAATGTTATTCATAAACCAAATGATTATTCTGTGGTACCTATACCACCAGGTCAAGTCTATCCATATCTTCAAGCACATCCATACCAAATAACTCTATTCCAAAAAGTTAAAGAATTCTTTAATGCTACTGCTCTTATCGGGGCAACATTGTACTGTGTATATTGGTTCTATAAGGTAATAGAATATAAACCTTGCACTTATATTGCACAATGATATACAATAGATGAATCAAAGTTTTTCTGTTTACATTAAATTACAGAAATTTATTGAGCCATACTTGTTTGGCCGAAAAAAGAAAGATAGCATAAAAGATTCAGTTTCCGAGTTAGATAAAACAATACAAAATTCTATGAAAGAAGTAAAACAATCCATTTCGAAGGTGGAAGACGATGTACAAAAATTGACACAGAACCAATTCATTGACCCAATGGTACCTCAATTGGTACAAGAACTGAAACAAGATTTAGCTAGCCTTAAGTCCTTACTTTTATCAAGGTATATATAAGTTCAAATATTATTAGGATACAATACATACGTATATAATAGATGCACAAACTAATATAGATAATAACATTTATTGCTATACAAGTTAATTTGCTTACACATCGCTATCTCAGATTTAAATTTATACATTTATAATGCGATCTTTTGTTCTTTACAATAGTTTATGCAGATACACATACAAATATATGCATTTCTTATGTCAGTCACGCCAGGATAGCTTTATCTAAAAATACAAAAGTAATACATCTTTCGAAAAAAGCAGCTATAAAATATATTTGTTTAACTTTGATTGGTTACAAAAAGAACGTATAAAAAACACAGATCCTACTTTCAATATGTTGTACTACATCATAATTAGGATATCCAAAAACGAGATTGAGTCATTGTATAAAATCGATCCATAAATAGTGACATTACTATTTACCAGAGCTTCAAATTTTAAACAGAAAACAATTTCCGAGTGCACCAGCATCTATACCAACGTGGCAATTAGATGCTACAGGTACAAGTCAGGAAAAACCGAGCGAACGGGAAGATGATGCTGGAAGTGGAAGTAGTACTAATAATTCAGATAGCTCTCTGGAAATGATTCGCGAGGATCCACCCAAGGAGTGATTTTACAATAATTCCATGAATCTTCACTTCCATCACGAAAGTCTTCGAAACATAGGATATTCTATGATGTATATCCAAAACCAATGCAGAAACTGATCATGTGTAATATAATATTGAAACTCGAGTGCTGCTGATCTTATACTCAGTTTACTCAATTAAATGTTATTTTCATTGTTTTCAATGAAATCATATTTGAATTTTTATTATTTCTAGAATGGGTATGTGTAAAGCTGCTTATGACACAAAAAAGGATACATGTAATGCATCGCTTTTTCTTTTTTTTAATAATAATAATAATAATGATGATGATGATGATGATGATGATGATGATAATGATGATGATGATATGATGATGATGATAATAATAATAATTCTTTTAAACTGTGGTAATCACTTAATCTTTTTAATAAGTCCCTTAAAAGATTAACATCTTTTTACCCTTTGGTTTGTGACAACAACATTTCACTGTTGCTTTCAAGGACATCTCACGTTCGTTAATAACATATTTTATTTTCAATATAAAGTCGTTTAATCAATGTATCGGGGAAGGTATAAAAACCAAAAAAATAAGTACCTTTTTTTTACAAACTAAATATGTACATTTTAATCCGTACTTAAATTTAAGGAGACAGTCGCAATACAAAGAACCATATTTAAGCCACTGACCTTTGATTTTGCACTGTGTGTATTTGAAATTAAAAAATTATTACCTCGACATATACATAGAACTGCATGTATGCAACCGCATGAACATACATACATGTACATACAGGCACATTATGTACAGAAAGAGATTTTCATCGAGTGTGGTGTGTGATCCTGCTCTCTATCCTATTCATGTATATACCCATGGCTAATCATACTTTGGGATAAATTACAATTAGTAATATAAATCCTCGTGAGCAACTTGTTCGATACACGTCAATAAATAAACAAATGTTCTCAATGTACTTACAGTCCTCTTTTTTCTTTCTTTCTTTCTTTCTTTCTTTCTTTCTTTCTTTCTTTCTTTCTATCTTTCTCTCTTTCTTTTTCTTCATTCGAGGACAACTTATCGTTCGCTAGTTTAGTTCTTGTGCACATGGGTGTATCCTTTTATTTTTCAATGAAAGTTTCATGATTTAAGTAAAATTAACATTTATATATATGTATATACGTACATGTATATATGCATATATAAATATTACGTAAAATTACAAGTTTAATGGCTTAATTACACTGTTCATTCACGCAGTCCAGTCATTCGGCAACAAATACATTCCTCATCGTAGTATTTACAAATCATATAATATTCAATAGTACTTTTGAATGATTAAACAAGCGAACAAAGTGTACAGTTGTACGTCCGATTGCAACATCCTGTCACTGTTACTTTATTCGTCTATTTTCACCCCCCCCCCGTTTTTTTTCTTCGCCTTTTTCCTCTTTTCTCACTGCGTATTAACATCGTACATCGCATTTTAAATAATTCTAATCTTCTCTAAAAAAATTTGATGAAATTAAATCGCCCCTTCGTAGTTCTTTAATACTTCCTTTTATTTAGTTAGGTAATCAGGATAGCCGCCTCACTGATACAGTGAGTCGCGGCGAACTCCATTCGAAGTGTGACTTAGTACTTCATCATTGTTTTCGTTTACACTACACCCTAGGTTCAATAATATTATATATAACAGAAATAATTCGTTTAAAAAATATAACACTTTTTTGTTTTTCCCTCATCATGTGTGGCAAAATAGTACATAAAACGTTCAGTATAATATCTTTACTTAGAACAAAATTATTTAGAGTGAAATATACGAGTCTACGTTACTTTAAAAACTCGATCTTTGGCAAATACATCTTTTCAAGAAAACATTGTTTTCGTGTACTTATGTGTATGTGTGTTGTACGTGGGTATGTATGGTAAGTGTATGGTACGTCTCTATCCATATGTATATCTATATGCGTATATACATATAAACATACACATGTATATATGTGTATACATATATATAATTATTGCGCACACATGAACATAACGAAAAATATATCAGGATATTTTGTGCTGACATAAATAATTTGGTTGAAGGTCCCACTCGCCCTTTCTTTTCTCGATCTTACCCGCTATGGTTCCGTATTTTTTATTTCTTTTGTCGTTTAACGAGCGTAGAAAATGAGGACAGGGTAAAGGGATCATCGTCGCATCATTCAGGCAGCATCCTAGTGTCTATTATCCGTAACAATAATAATCCTAGATTAAACACGCTAAATTGTTTTCGCAGCTCGGTGTCTCTAATAAATCTAACGTATCGGTCAATCCGGACTGTGCTACCAAGTATGATGTAAATGTAAATTCCTCGAAAGAACGGATCGCACGTCTTGCGTGAAACGGAGCGCATCCAAAACTGGAAGTAAACTCAACAGAGCTGTGTCCCCCGCGTCGCTAAACCACGATTTGATTGGTATCGCGTTATCTGTGTGAACAGAAAGAAACGAACTGACTTGCGAAACAATTCAAACATAATGATTCGCATTTAGCAATCTACGATTGATCGTCAACGGAACAACATAGATGACTACTACGTAACATCCAAGAAGTGCAAATCTCTCTGTACTACTGCATCATTATGTATTGTAGCCCGTGTGAAAGATACGAACACATGGCGAACGCGAGAGCACCGTTTTCTTGGATCTTACCGATAGAAACCTCTCAATGTAAAAACTAAAGTCTAGACTATAGACTGGTACCTGATGCACAGGGATTATTTGAAAAATAAAAATCAACAAAAATATGTATTACAACAGCTGAAATTATTTTACTGCCGAGTCGGCGTACTGTCCAGTGTTCATTCAAGTGGAGCAGCATTGGCAATTGATCATATTTTATATTATCCACGGGCCTGTATTCAGTGCTTGCTTACAGAACATCAACGCTGATAGCTGCAAATAGATACGGTTCTCGATCAGATTATACCGAACTGTAGATCGTGGTGCTGGTTCAACCAAGCTATTGCAAAAGATTTTGTTCTAGGAGCTAAACCATTCGAAACAAAATCGTGTAAAGAAAATATCTATTGAAATAATATCATGTGCAATGAATGTTGATATGAGAAACGGATTTCATTTTTGGGGGAAACATTCGCATCGCGATTCCTAGTTTGAACGAATCTTCGCGTTGGCGATACGGATACGATCTATAAAACCAAGTCTTTTAGAAGCATTGTAAATGACAAAATTCCTCATCTGAATTCCTTGATATTACAATTTAATGTTTTGCATATGCACTTTCACATATAATGCATAAACATTGCAATGCGAATGACGCGGTGCAATCTACGAGAATAATCGTTTGATAAACTTGATGAAACGTTACCTAACAAGTATAAAAGATATGCTTGGTTTTTCCAATTCGTATAAAAGCTGAATCACAGTTGTGCACATGTAAGCAAGTTCCGACTACAGGTCGTGATATATAGTACATGATACAACAATAACATTGAAATATTAAATGCAATGGCATGAATATGCATATTAAATTAAACTTCGCGATTTGCTAATGACCTGCACATGCAACAGAAATTTACATACAATTATTGTATCATGTAGGGGAGACAAGTTAAGAAGTTAAATCAGATAAAAATATCACAATGACAATGTGAAATTACTTTGAAAAGGATATATAAGGATATACACATGTGTGTGTGTGTGTATATATATATATATATATATATATATATACTTACCTGGGTAAGCTCTGTAGGCTCCAGGACTATTATCAAGTATAAAGACTGATGCCAAGTCTGGACAAATTGCAGACAAGTCTTTAGTATAGGAACCCATTTCTGGTGTACAGTGTTGTCTATAATATCTGCGCCTTAGAATACCTCTGTTGTTATCTAACTTATCTGCAACAGCTGCTCCATAGATTTCCATGGAAGCAGTGAAGACCACTAATTCGTACCTAGACGAAAGTAACATGGAAAGCTTGTATAATTTCATGGAAGAAAATTACGAGATAAGATATCCTCTTATCTAGAGACATAATAAGTACAAAGTTTGAGTCTGAACCGAAACTGAAAGTATTCTTTCCGATAATGAAACTTACCATTGACTAACAATGTCTAAAAAGAAATCTACGTGTGGTCTCTTATGAACGAAAAATCTGACTGGATGTCTATCTATCGTCACCTTGAGGACAAAGTCTGCAGGTGTACCAGGCCTAACCGTTGGCCTTGCCACTCCATCGTGATGAGAGTGAATTAAAGTTTCATCTAGATCCAATACCAACACTTTCCTTTTAACTATATCTGAAATATACTTTGGTTATACATAAACAATAATACACATTATCGTCTAGGATTGCACAACCGATGAAAGATAAACTGAAGAATACTTACTAAGCCTGTGCCTCGACAGTGGGGATAGTGGGAAGATCTCGTATTTAACAGGTTGCATTTGCGATATCTAAAACAATTGATCCACTATAAAAGAAACGAAGGATCCTCCGATGAATGTTTAGACTAATCAGCAGCCGACAGAGAATCATGACACATGGAGTTACATAATTGAGTGAGAGAATCCAAAGACGAGCACAGGAGAGATGACATTGGCAAGGCCAGGGGATCGTGGGGTCGAACATACGCTACAGCGAGGAGGTGCACTACCGAACATGCTGCACTGTCACAACAAAGTCACAGACGATTCAGAGAAACTACACGTACGCCGGGTGCAGCGGGGGATTTCCCTGTAAGCGGCGAGGAACGCAGCGACGTGCGCGCGGGGTGCACGGGACGCATCGTCGCGGGGATGTTACGGTGGCGAGAGAAGAAGGAGAAAAAGGTGATAGAGGCGCGAAGCACCTACTTACGGCTCTAACCTGCTTCTTGAGGAGAAAGCAGACGCAAGTCCACACACGGGAGGCCATCGAGAGGAAAGCTCTCATCCCCATCTGCAATTGCTTCAGCATCTCTACTGGTCTTCTCACCGGGCCGAAGTCCGGCAACACTTTATCTCCAGTGTCTCGTCTGCGTCGCGGGCTCTCGTTTATCCTTTGCGACACTCCACTCCGCGGTTCAACCGTAATTGCACGAAACTGTTTCCCGTAAACAAGCGTTCTTCGCGCGGGCCGGTCGCATAGGATCTGAACAGTTAGAAGCACATTACGGGAGGTCCGCGTACGATAGCGCTCTGCACGTGTAAACAGGCATCCCCGTATCTTGTCATGTTGTTGGCGAAATCCACGGCACGAATCTTTTCTCACGCACACCACGCAGCGGCCGCCATCTTTCGCACATCGACCCAATTTTTCCATGCGCTACGCTGGCGCGCATCATCTTCGGAAAATTCTCTTTCACACGCGTGTCGAAATTCTTTGAACCGCGGTTTCGAATTTCCACAGGGCGCCACGCAGCACGTGGAAAAATTCCCGGACATGACGGATCGTCGGCCGATCGTCGCGGGGCCGTTGCATAATCGGCCCTGGCCGAAACCGGCCCTGGCCGTCGAACAGCGTGCTCTCGCTTATCCGAGGGGCCCGGGTCCGGGTTTCGAACTCGGGGAAAAAAAGCTTCCCGTCACTTTTCCGACCGCACACCGCGTGCTAGGCGACCAGTGCTGCGAAAACTGCCGGCATGCGACCAGGAGAGCGCTGGGTAAAACCTCCTTTCTACCGACGAACCGCTCTTTTCCCCTTCGAATCGCGCCGAAACCCTCGAGAACGACGCGTCCCAGTGCTCGGGGGAACTTCTCGAGAGACTGTTTGCAAGTATTTCCAGAGATCGCTGCTCGACTTCACTGCACCGACTCCCCGTGCCTGCGAAGGAGCAACCCGACTCGGCGGACCGGCCAACAGCTCGAGCTCTCTGCACTTTGTTCAGCGCGAATCGTTTCCTGCCCGCCGATACTAATTCTCCGTTCGATTCGCCGTTACCGGCAACAAGTATTTTAAGCACAAGTTTCAAGTGTCGAGCGCAACATCGAAACGGTTCCCTAGCCGAACCGCACAGCGTCCGGTGCTCTGCTGTTAGACGGATTTTCTCGGCAAATTTTACCCAGCTCTGAATCCAAGGATTACAGACTGCGAGTTAACGTGCCACCACTGCACTCGACGGACATAGAGTTAGTTGTTACGTTGCCACGCTGTTCGTATCGTTTCCTCGGCGAGGACAGCGGCATTACGGCAATTGCATTCGATCGGGATTAAAGCGTTGCATTCAAAGGTTCTGAAAACCAAACCACGCGGTCAATTGCTGCCAGGGAAGATGGCGTACTACCTTATCTGCATCGAATGCCTTCCCCCGACTAAGCTGCGCGCACAACGTCGGCAAAATTCACCAGAGCTCTCGCTGAAACACTCGACCGACTCTCGAGCAACGTTCCACGCACGCACGCGAGTCGTGTGTACAACGTTTAAGAGGAAAAAAACGTTACCGTCTACCCGCCGTATCGTTTTTCCGTCCCGACTCGAGCAGAGACTTACCGTAAAGGTGGAAATTTAAAAATAACTTTCTCCGGGGCCTGTAAACGCGCGTTTATATGCATTTAACGATATATGGAGAACGCAGCCGATTATATTGTTTGCCGTCCTAGTGGATTGTTGGCTTGAATTTTCAAAAAATTCGGACCGATCCGATTGGACGAGCCGCTCGAGGAACCCTCCTTTTTCAGTTGAGCGTCCATTTCGGCTCGCCCGATTGCTCGTCCCGGCACCAATCGGACGCGTACGTTGTCGGAAGGCGAAAAGGAAAGGAAGCGTCGGCATTCTGTGATGATGTTACTAACTCGCAGATGTAACAAACGGTATCAACCTTAAAATCTAGTATGACGTTTATTATACGAGCAGCTGCTTGTGTTGCATCAAAATACGGTACTGTTAGTGATCGGCTCGAGCGAGAGTCCTGAACCGCAACACGGACTCGTAGAAAGGCCGCTGTGACCAGTCTACGTTTTTTTTCCGCGCTGAATCCATTCGAGTCCCGAGGAGAGCACGATGACGGATCTAACAGGGTTGCGAATGAACGTGGCCGCTCTCAAGCGAGTGGACCCTTATGTGAAAGATATTCTTGGAACCGCGGCCCACGTAGCGCTATACACTTTTAACGGGGTTAACAACGAATGGGAGAAAACCGGCATCGAGGGTGCTTTATTCGTCTACTCGCGAAATGGCGAGCCCTACAACAGTGTTCTTATCATGAATAGGTAATGTATCTCACGTCCGTGTTTTCACAGAAAATCCTCCTATTATCGCCGCGAAATATGCTCTGAGAATCTCGAAAACGTAATAACGGTACACGCAGCGAGAAAATTCCCGTTCGGACCGTTCAAATTCGAGTTTTATGCCATGGTACCATGTGCTGTTTAACCCTTTCATAGTGCAATACGTTCATGGAAAATCTAACGGAACATACGCGTTCTTTTCGTTCAGACTGTTTGTCCGCACGGTTACAGATGCCACGATAACATAATTTATCCATTTTCCGCATTATGCACCTTAGCGACCAGGTATTTTCTGTAACCGTGTTCTCTCCAACAAAGTCTCGTCGTAGGTTCTCTGAAACCTCTGAAGCTAATCGATTCTGCCCACGATACCTGGCCGAAACCCGTTCGAATTACATTGCGAGAGGGTCGATGGAGCAGACCAAGATTAATGTACAGAAGCTTATTTAGTAGAATTATGTAACATGTAGACTACTGTATACCTTTAATAATGTTTTATAGATTGAACACGAATAACCTAGTGGAGCCAGTCACGGAAGGTTTAGAACTGCAACTGCAGGAGCCATTCTTACTCTATAGAAATTCCAGATGTAACATTTACGGTATTTGGTTTTACGATAAAGAGGAATGTGGACGCATCGGTGCAATGTTGAATAAACTGGTTAAAGAGTCCGAGGAGAGCCGCAAAGCCATCAATAAAACTGCTGCTAACGTGAAAAAGAGTTCTGGACCTAATGTAAACAACGTCGATATATTCACTATGCTCAGCAAAGCTCAGAAAGATTTCAATACTAACAGAAGTAACAGTGCCAGTGGAGGAGGTACCGGGGAAGCGCTCGGTTCTAAATCACCCTTGGTCACTCCTACGGTAGAAAATTTATCCGGTCCCCTCACTGCTCCATTAGGTCCAGACGTTACTTCGCAGAGTGTGATGGATTTCTTTGCCAAGGCAAAAGTTAGTACTCCCATCAAAAGTAACCAGGTTCCAGTATATAAGATTTTTTCTCTAAGCGTTGCACGTACAATCGTTAAGGTTTGGATTGGTCGTTAGATATGCAGGTTGTCGAAATATTTTTAGGTCAATACAGGAGTGTTTACGGCTGGCGATCAGCCTACACCGGGGGGTGCTGTTGCGAGCGAAAGCAAACCGTTACTCGCTCGGTTAATGTCGCATCCAGCTGCACATACAGTGGAGCACATTGAGAAACAGCATAGATCCGTTACCCCGCAACCGACTAGTACTACTCAGCAGCAGTCCCAGGCGACGCCCACGGGCATAGTGACAGCGACCAATGCTAGCAGTGCCTACGCTTCGAACAGATCCAAACGACGAAGCAAGACAGCTTCTCAACAGGATTCTATAATATCCACGCCTGCTTCTATGAGCCACGATGCCACTACGTCTATCAATCAAAACACTACCGATACAAACGGCACGGCAGGCTTCCTTAGGATACAGTCGCCGACGAACGTGTCATCCTCGAACTCGACGAACCATCAGGCCTCAGACATTGTCGGCTCTAGTAATTCGAATCCACTTGCGTCCTTGTTCGCCCATGCGTCCGCAACAACGGTGAGTGGTGATGTCGGTTAGATCGTAGAATATCATAGATGGTGTTCAGGTTCAGGAAAGAGGGGAACTGAGAATTTTTGTTTCTTTTTTTTATCTGATCAGGCATCGGAAGATATCATTCCGGCATCCACTTTGTCGGGAAGAGGATCGGCGCCAGCGTTAATACCCCCCGTTATGTTCGCCGCTCCTAGCCCTCCCGAACCCCCGGCCCGACCATTAGAACCACTGACAAGGAACCAGCTCCTTCAAGCTTTCAACTATCTGTTGAGAAGCGACCCGGATTTTATCAACAAACTCCACGAAGCTTACGTGAAGTCGTTCGGCGAAATTCTGTCCTAAAGCCGCGAACTGTTAACGTGTACGTAACTGGAGGACCCGTCATGCGGGTTGTGACGGTCGACTGAGCAAACGATCTGAGGGATCGAGCGAAAACCCAAGTAATCCCCTATGTCTCACGGTACGCATAGCCGGGTGAACGCAACGAGTTGCGCTCGACACTCTCGATTGAACATTGACTGGTACGCCCAATTTTTCTTGGGCTAGGGGGCTGGGGCTGGGGGGCCTGGGGCCTGGGGCTGGGTCTGGGGCTGGGGAGAGACGAAGCATAGATTTAAAACGGAGATACATACCTTAAACAGTATTTTTATAAAGTAATACATTTTTCTCCCGAGGAAGTGACGGAGCCGGGTCACGTGGAACGCGTTAACAAGGTATGAGCCCAATGGAGAGAGAGAGACACACGCCACACACGAAAGAACACAGATGTACACATACTCGCGGTAACAGAGCAAACGAGAACGTTCGGAAAGACACAGCAAAGGGATATATACGACAAGGAAATTGCAAAAAAGGAACACGACGGGACAAGGAACGTGAAAAATTGTACGATTTTAAACTGTGATGCCAAAACATTTATATTATACTAGCGTTTTATGGTTACTACTATTTCGGAGAAGGAGCGAGCGACAAATTTTTTCTGAGCCGATCAAATGGAATACCTATTTTACGAAGTAATGACATACCCCCTCCTATATATCGGGTATTCGATATGGTACGTGTATGTAATTAATAAAAAAAAAGGAGCAAATAAATAGAGACCGATTACTGAAAAATCGTTTCAATGTATTTCAAGTCGATCCTCGCATCGATATTCGTCATCGTCGTTCCCCTCGCGAGTAACACGCGTTTGCGGCGGAATCGTCTCGCGTCTACGCTAGATTATCACAATACAATAATATTCATACATGGAATACGATTACTGTGTGAGAAGTACATCGTCGGTGTGTACCAGAACAATTGATTTTCCGGAAGAAGATGCTCTTACGCGATTCCAAGAGTAAAATAGAGAAACGAACAAGAAAGCAAGTTAGAAAGCAAGATAGAGAGTAAGATGGAAAGGGAAATAGAGAACGAGACAGACATCAGACTTTTATTGTTCCTCGCGCGATTCGCTTCGTTCGCGTTTCTCCTCGCCGGAAAGGAGCAACGCGGCTCCCTCTTATTGCTAGATCACGCTTATTAGATCCCGTGGCTAGTGTCGATGCGTCGACGAAATCGTGGCACGCCGGTTACAGGTTTACGTCGCCTAAGTAAACGGTACCGTCTAATACGATAGAAAATACATAATTCTATTTACAGTGCTACAATAATAAGGTGATATCATGCGATTCCACTGTTTCCCGACTCGCGCGACGCGAGTCGCGTAGAATCCGGCTCCCCGACGCGGAGAGGGATCGCGCTCGCGATGCACAACGCGCAGTGTCATAATTTACAGCAGTCGCTTGTATCGTTTCCATTTTTTTCTCGTGTTTTCCTAGGTTTTTATCTTTTCACAAAATTCACAGCCAAGTGGAGCCATCGTGAGCCCGCTAGCTTCCTACTAAGATAGTCTTAACTATGTATATATACGTCTATCGGCTAGAACACTTTCAGAACGTCTTTGGATCGCTGAAAAGAGGATTTTCAGACGAGAGGCACTTTCGGCGGTCCCAGCAGCGGGGGCCCGTTGTCGGGCATCCGATGGGGCCCGAGCTTGTCGCTCTGCGTCGGCACGGGCTGCAGCAGCCTGATGGCGAGGCTGGCTAGTATCAGCAGGACGATTAGACCGCAAATCGGCACGGCGATAGTCGCGGTCTTGAACCAGCCGTCCGCCGACTGACCCCCGTGATTGATCGGCTGCACCGGACTGAGGAAAGGTCGCTGGTCACCGACCAACACTGTAACAATCAAAACTCCTTCAGTAACGCCGTTGTCGTCGTTGCCGTTGCTGCTGCGCTGTCGCGACGTATAAATTATGCAAAACGTTTCGTTATTCATAAATTCGCGCAACCTTCGACTTTCACTATTGTTTCAAATCAGCCGGCCGGGACTCTTCGCCGAAGCCGTATATGAAATCAGCGCGCGGGGAATACATTTGAATAATCGAATTAGAAGGGGATCTATTAACGACGTATCGTTCCTCCGGAGCAGACGACGGAGCAAGCGGCACACGAAAATCGCTCGCCTCGGACCGGTCGCGTTCGCCGATTTTTACTATTCTCGCGGTGGAGGAGAAAACGGTCTGGTTTAACCTTGAAGGGTCTTGTTCAGCCTGTTTCTCATGGCTGGGCTGTCCACGTGGTTGCAGAGATCCTGCTCGCAACAGAGGTATCCCGTGGGACATCGTTGCTCCTTGAAGCTCTCGTCCAGGCAGCCGCTGTACGCGTTGTGCTCCACCCTGAGCAACGAGGGGTCCGCGTTCGAAGGCAGCTCCGTGAAGCAGCCCCTGCCGCGGCACATGTATCCTTGGGGCACGCATTCCGGTTGGTTGCAGTAGCACCTCACCTCCCTCGCGTTCCGGGAATCTGTAAACCAGATCGCGACGTCGGCTGTTAATTAATCCAATTTGAACCGGGCCGGTAATCGGCGCGTCAACAATAAACCGTGGAACGCAAACGAGCCGGGAGACGGCGCGCGGTGTCCGTGCTCCTCTTATCGGCCGAGCGAAGAGGCCGAGCGAAGAGGCCGAGCGAAGAGGCCGCCGAGCCAACAAGCCGAGCAAGGGCATCGAGTTCATAAAGCGAAAGGAAAATAAAATTGGATGCACGCATTCAACGGCTTATCGCGTATCAGCGGCCCGTTATAACGTCTCTTTCGAAAAAGCTATCTACCAACGATAAGTTTCGAGTACTCCCCGAGACAGCGAACGAATTCGCCGACAGAATTCCTCCTCGGAACTGGAATAATACCGGAGCCACGATTACGCGAGCCCGAGATACGCTACTCCGAGAATCGGCCAAGATTCCTCGTCGGTTCCGATAGCCGCGGTCCGTCATCGACGATTAATGACTCATGCCGATTAACGACGCGATATCACGGGTGGTCCAGGCGAGCTCCGTCCGCGAACAGCGCAGCGCCGGGTAGAACGAGTTGCGCCGTCTAGCATGCAGGCGGATTCATTTCGATCATCGAAATTATACGGAGCGCAGCAACGCGCGACCCGCCTCGCTAATTGATTACGACTCATCTTTATTTATACGCTCGGCCCCGATAACGCCGTCCGAGGGGACGCGCAATATAATTCCACGAACGAGCGGGGTTTTCGCATCCCGGGTTCCAGCATCCCAAGCACCGACTGCGTCGATAGCTGGCGGCCGCCCCTAATGAGTAGCCGACTGAAAGTCATAAAAGATTATACCCTGCGCATCGCAACAGGTATACACACAGAGGGGCCCGGCATTCGTTTACCTGGCCGGGCAAGCATCACCGGGCAACCATCGCCGGGCAAGCATCACCGGGCAACCATCGCCGGGCAAGCATCACCGGGCAACCATCGCCGGGCAACCATCGCCGGGCACCGCCGCCGAGCAGTCTCTTCCCATGACGATTATCCGCGTGGACCCGGAGCGAAGCTCATTGTTCGAGGACGATAAACCCCTGCTCGATCGGGAGCAGGAGTTCACCGAACGGAATTTCTCTGGAAATAAATGCGGAACCGGAAAAATTTCGAAAAAGAGACGCACTCGAGATCAGCAGGACTCGCGCGAGCCACTCTGGAGAGTCTGGAAGGAATCCGCCTCGAGAAACACGCCCGATACACTGGGACCATGCTTGACGTAGCGTAAATATACATTACACGGCCGTAGCGGAGTTCCTCTCCGTCCGCCCCGCGGTGTGTTAATGAGGGCCGCACGAAATAAACAAAGAGACACGGAGCAGTTCGCGGTGACTAACCATCGCGCCGCTTGTTTATTATGATAATGCGGAGCCATCTTTACCCGTGACTTTACTCTTCCCCTTTCGTTGTCTCTCAGCCTCCCACCCTCTCCGGCCGGGACCGTGCTCCTCCCCACGGTCAACGGAATAATTTACTTTGCTCGCCACAGGCCACCGCGAACCTTCGACCGCGAGCGAACCAACCGACGAACGGACAATTCGACGTTACGAAATAATTCCGTTTCCCGCGATCCGATCGAACCGCTCGCTCTGCCCGAATATTAACTTTCGCCGATGAGCACCCGCGACGGAGGCTCTTTGTCCCATCTTTGAATCACCGCGGTTGGATATAGCACCGCGAGGGGGGAAAAATTCGAACAAAGAACCCTCCCGCGACGATTAACCGCGCTACAGTTGTTTATTATGGTAATGCGAAGCCATCTTTATCCGCGACTGTGCTCGCTCTCCGTCTACCCCTCGTCCCTCCTCTATTACACGACCCTTTCTCTCCCGACGGAGCCTTCTTACATTCTCCTCTTTCTCCTCGGAGTTGTTGCTAATAAGCCTGCAGCGCAGCCTTTCCCCGTCCCTGCCGCGCCCCACCCCTCGCCGCGTGCACCCTTGATCTCTCTGGCCCTCTCTGTCCCTCCCGCTGTCCGTCTCCCTTCGTCGCCCTCGGTCCCTTTCTCTCTGTCTCTGGTCGACGAAGCCCGGCTCATCGGGGAATAAAAAACGCTAAAACAGCCGAGTCACAAAAGAAAGATTAAACTGGAGAGAATATATGGAGAGGAGGCATGCCGGCCCTCTGTTGCGTGCTTCGCTGCTGCCGTATTCGCCCGGCCGATCGCACGGCTCCGCGAGCCCTACGACGTACAGTCGACGGGGAGAATTTTCAAGAAAATTCGCATCCGCATCCGCATCGTTGCGCAACGCTTCGAGGACGAGTCGAACACACACGGTTCCTCTGGCTCCTCTTCTATCGGGTCGGATCAAAAATTCCAGCCGCTTGTTGCACCCCGAGAAAAAAGGTATATCTCTGAATTGTTCAGCGGCCTCCGTCGCTTCCAACGTAATTGAAATATTCGTGTTCCGTTAACGTATGACAAGCGGGATCGGAAATTTCTCCGAAAGGAATTTGTCTCGTCGGGAGAGGTTTCGGGGAGAAAGACCCGAAGCAGGCTCTCGGTTCGACTGGAACGAGGAGAGAGGCGGAGGGAGAAAGACAGAGACAAAAGGAGCTGCGGAGAAGGGCCTCGTGTGCGTTTAAAATAAAAAGGGAAAAGGGGAAGCAGCGGGAGGTCGAGAAGGCCCGGGCAAAAG